ATTTTTTCTTGTTTTTCTTTTCATATATTTAACTGGCTAAATTTTATGGTTGGTCATGGAGTTTAAAAGTTATTAGATTAAAGCTTACTTTTAACTTTCTATCTTAATAAGTTTGTAAATTTTACTTTATTACTTTTAATCCTTTATTTTAATAAATTTATAAGTTTTAGTCCCTCACTTTTGTAATATCCCAAAAATTTTGTGATATTTTAGCACTTAGTTAAGGACTCGTTTGAGAGGAAATATTATTTTGGAGCTTAATAGGAAATATTTCGAAACTTGAGGGACTTAAAAGAGGGAAATTTTGGATAAGGATGGCTGATTTTTTTCTTCTTTCTTTCTTCAGCCGCCCGATTTTGCTCTTTTTCTTCTTCTTTCCCGTCCCCTACAGCTCCCGGAAGCCCCCCAAGGTGCCGGCAACAATTTTCTTGAGAAAACCGGCAGAAAGCTTGATTTTATCCTTCTTTTTTTGTTCAAGAACCAGATTTAAAGCTTGGAAATCTTCCCCCCTCTGCAGAATTTTCGGATCTGCCCTGATCTACTCAGTGTCTCTTCCTCCCCTGTCCGTCGGTTTCTGCTGGGTGTGAATCCTTCGGCTTTTTCTGGTAAGCCACAGCCAAGAAATCATCTCCTTAGCCTTGATTTAACTTGGGTTACTCTAATTTTGGTTGTGGTTCTTGAATTTTGAGGTAGATCCGTGAGTTTCCTCTGCAGATTCCGTCGGCCTTCCCCTAAACTTGCCAGCTCCAGTTTGCTTGCTGGAATTCTGGTATGGACATCTCTTCCAAGTCAAATTTATCAATTAATTGCTGCTTGTATTGTTGAATTTAAATCAGCTAGTGGTTGCCCCTGCACTGTCCGAATTTTGCTGGAAAAATGGGGGAATTTCGGTAGCTTTAAGTGGGTTTTTGTTTAATTTAAGTGTAAATTGCTTGAGTTGGCTGCTGTGAGATTTTGGAGAAAAATCCAGTGAATTAGCTATTGTTTTGTCAATTTTTGGAAGTGCAGTGACTGTTTATGGCGTGATCACTGTTCACGGGCACTGTTCACGGGCACTGTTTATGCACTGATGGCCAACAATTAACGAGGATTAAATGTTTAGTTTGTAATATAAGAACAAATTTGGAGATGTCTGGTCATATGGAGATTAATAGAAATAGCATTGTGATTAGGGGGTAGTCATGGTGATTTTACTTTTGAATTTGTGGTACGGTAATTAATTCTGGGGTATTTTGATTAGGTTCTTGAGTGTTTTGTCACCTGAGTACTTGGCTTGAGTTCTGGATTTGAGGTAAGTAAATTTATGATAATGTTCGTACAGTTTTTAAAAGTATGTTTTGACTTATTTTTGAAGTGGTGGCGAGACTAAACTCGTTTTATACAAAAGTAAGTATAACTGATTTGAAGTGAAATTTTTATGCTTTTCACTAAATTGAACATGCCTACTTGAAATTTAATTGATTGTCCTGATGATTTGAAAGTGATTGGTGAATTATGGTTTTTCTGTTAACTTCTGCCTGTTTTGTCTCCGATGTGGTCATGTTATTAGTGTGCCCGCTAGTGGGAGGTTTATAAACGCTAGCACATGTCGACATGTTATTGATAGAATCGGTTCGTTTGAGTGACCCTGCTAGTGGGGGTTATAAATCAGCAAATAGTGTGCCTGCCAGTGGAAGGTTTATAACACTGGCCATGACCTATAAAGGAGACGTCTATTTCATTCTCGTATTGTATCCGTTTTTCGTGATTACACTTGTTGGCATGCTATAAGTTTAATAAGGGGCACTCCATATTTTACTTACTGAGTTTATCTCATAGTTTTTCTTTGTCTACCATTTCAGGAAGTGAAATCGAGAACGAGGAAACCACGGAAAGTGATGAGTTAGAAGGCTAGCCATTTCGAGATTGATATAGATTTTAGAAATAAATCATGCTTTTGTAAGATAGATTTTACCTTGAATTTATGAGATCAAAATAGATTTCGGTCATTAGATCAATTACTTGGATTTAAGTCATTTTGGATATAGAAATAAATTGAGATGTTTGATTTAAGTTATGGAGTGGTATCAGATTGTGAATTGGATAAGTTCCGAGCCTTGTGCATTTGTGGGACCCTTTCACGAATGCATGACGTTTGTTACGTCTCGGATTTGGGTTTTGAGGCGTGACAACTTTATACTATAACACTTTTAATCCATCACCTATATGAATTGAAGAAAATAACCTTTACTTAAAGTCATGTTATAATGTTTTATTGGTTCTGTTAGCTGACTTTTAATTCTATTAGCTGACTGTTAACGTTTCGTTAGCATTCCGCTATCGGAACTAACAAATAAAATTGAATTTAAATTTTATTTTTTTTATAACGAAATGCTAACAAAACTAATAGTTAATTAACAGAACTAATAAAATGTTATAACTTAATATTAAGTGAGGGTTATTTTCTTCAATTCATATAGATGAGGGATCAAAACCTATAAATTTATTAAAATAAAGAGTTAAAAGTGTCATAATATAAGGTAATGGGTTAAAATCTACAAATTTATTAAGGTAAAGGGTTAGAGGTAAGTTTTTGCCTAGTTATTCACCCCTCATTAAGATCATCCAAATTTTAATTTTTTAAAATAATATCTAAAAATATTAATTTTTTAGTTGATTTTAATTTATTAATTATAATTATTAACTTAGTTTAGTAGTTAAATTAAATAAAATTAATATTTTTAATAAATATAATATTTTATCATTTGTATGACTATAATATTATTATGGATGATCACAACAATACCCAATTATACTAGTTTAGTATGTAATCTTATTATTTTCCTTCTTTAATCAAGAAACTAATGAAATAATTAATTTAT